CACCGGCTGGGCCGGCGGGGCCTGGCTGGTGTGAGGCCGAGGTTGGGGATGCGGGTGCTTGGCTGCTGCTCCTCCTCAGCCTCCCTGCCGGGCTCGTGGAGCAGCGGACCTGCAGGCCAGGCAGGCCCCGGCACAGTCTCCGTCACCCCTTCCTGAGAGGCCTCAGGGCCGTTCCGAACAGCATGAGGGTCAGACTGTTGGGCAACGGTCGTCCCTCTGCCGCTTGACGACTGGTGGACACTGTCATCCTCACCACGGCTTGGCAAGGAGGGTTCATGATGTCAGTTTACCGATGAGGAGACTGAGGCTCGAGGAGTCTGGGTGCCCAGTCAATGTCAAATACCTTTCTTTTTGGTATTTACTTGGTTGAAAATAGTCGTAATTGATTAGTCACTAGAGGCCAGATGCACGAAATTCGTGCCGGAGTAGGCCTGCCTTCCCCCGGGTGCCGGCACCGGCTTCCCTCTGCCCGCCGGCAGATACCCGGGACCCGGGCTTCCCTCGCAGCCTGGCTTCATCCGGAAGGATGTCTGGTCTAATGAGCATATTATGCTTTTATTATTATAGACTCGAGGCCCGGTGTACGAAATGCGTGCATGGCTAGGGTCCCTGGGCCTGGCTGGCGATCAGGGCCAGCTGGGGCCTCTCCTTCCCCTGGCTGCCAGCTGCTGGCTGCCGGCTGCGAGCCAGGGTCTTCCTTCGTTCCATGCTGCCCCCTGGTGGTCAGCGTACATCATAGCGAGCGGTTGAACTCCCAAGGGGACAATTTGCATATTAGCGGTTTATTACGTAGGATTGTTAACAAGCCAGCATTACTGTGTGTTTTGTTTGTGATTCCCAGAAACTGGGCTCTCTGTGAGTGTGGCTGTGGGAGGTACCACCTGCCTGCTGCACCCGCCCCCACCCCCCACCCCCTAGTTGTCTGTCTGTCCCGCTGCTGCACAGGTCGTCTCTGACGTTCAGCGGCTTGGGGGCATGTCGGCTTTCTGTGCCTCTTTCTTCTCTGGCAGATCAGCAGTTGGGCTCCCAGGTGACCCTGGAGAATGGGGCTGTGGGCCCTGACCTGCCTGACGGGCTCTGAGAGGGCAAGCCGGGGCGGGCAGCGTGGGGCGGGCAGCCGTGGGACTGAAGTTACGTGGGAAGGCTCCCGTGACCCCTCCCTTGTCTTCCTCAGAGAGGCGTGGCCATGGAGGACCTGGGGGAAAACACCACGGTCCTGTCCTCCCTGAGGTCCTTGAACAACTTCATCTCTCAGCGTGTGGACGGAGGAGCGGGCCTGGATGCTTCGGCCTCGGCCCCAGGCTCCCTGCAGATGCAGTACCAGCAGAGCATGCAGGTGAGTGTCATGGGGAACGGCTCTCCGGCCAGAGACACCCGTCTGTAGGTGCCGCTCAGGTGAGTGCCCTGCGCGGGACCGGGGTCTCTGACGGAACACACGGCCCTTAGGCTGGGTCATCCTCATGGCTCGGCCTCGCGTGCGGCTGTGCCTGTGGGGGAGATGCCGTAGGGACATGGCTCTTGTGTGCCTGCTGCCTGTGGTGAAATTGGTTTCCTTACACGTCGTTTTGCTGAATGTCGTAGGACCCATGGCCACTGCTGACGTTAAGCGGGCACTTCCTGTAGCTGCGGCAGGTCAGCGTCTCCTCAGCCTAGAGGCCGGCTGGCCGTCTCCCGGGCCTCTATCGTGGGCGTTTGGAGTTTGGGGGAGAAAGCGGGAGGGAAGCAGGGTGTGGCCTTGACCCGTCCTGGTTAACAGCCTGACGTGTCAGCAGCGCAAAGCGGGCCTGGTGCTCAGCCTGTGCTCACGGTAATGAGCTCACAGGCCCTAGTGACGAGAGAGGAATGGACCACACGGCCTGGCTCCCTTGAAGGTGGACGCCTGGGAGGGCGGCTGTGCGGTGACAGGCCCATGGCTGGGCTGGCGGGACAGCAGGGGAGTGAGTGAAGCTTGGGGAGGGGATGGCCTCAGGCTGCGGGAGCGTTTGCAGATCTTGGCTCCCGGCTGCTACGGGGTGATTTTGACAGTTTTACTCTGATTAAAGTGCTACTTTGCTCTGTTCCAAGTTCTCGGCATTGCTCCCTGTAGACAGTTGTAAAGGGGTCAGGCCTTCTAAAGGACCTCAGCTTCTAAGGACTTGGGGGTCCGTCCCAGGGGGCGCAGAACCACGGGGGCCGCACAGGCTTTCCCAGGCCCGCCGCTCCCACCTGCTGCTGCGTCCCTCCTCTCCCGTGGGCCCTCGCGTTGCTGGGGCTGTTCAGCAACTGTCTCTGTGTCAGCCGTGGGTGCTGCTGGGGCCGTGGGGTGATAGTGTCCTGGGAGCCCAGGAGGCTCAGGTGCATTCATTTGCTGAGGAATTGAATTACTTCCTATTGTTAGTAGTGGACTGGTTGCTCACTCCCATTTTTTGGCAATGCCTCTGGACCTTGCCAAGTGTCCCTGGCTGAAATAAGAACCACTTGCTCTAGCCCAGAGCTTCTCAAATCCTCATGTGCATGTGAGCCCCTGAGAGTGCGTGTGAGAGGACGATTCTGATTTGGCGTTTCTGGGGTGCACCCAAGACACGGCATGGCTGTTGAGTGTCCAGGGGTGCTGTGTGCTGGATTGCAGGCCATTGTGCAGTGCTCAGGTGCTAGCCCACCTGGAGAAGAGACCCTTAGAGTCGGTGATTCTTTGAAACCATTTGGTGTGTCTTCTGAGTTTCTCCAAGGCTGGAACTCACCTCTGTTTACCTGCCATCTGGGGGGGGCAGACCCCTAAGGTGGTCCTTGGTGGACCCATTTAATCCAACACTGACTAAGGGTGTGGCAACGAGATTTGAAAGTATAATTATGATCTCAAGTCA